ACAAAATCAAAGACGACGATTTCTTGCCTTGGATATGGTGTTCTTAGGTATTTATAATAAAACTAGACTGCAGCCAGGGGCTCACTGTGCTCTATTTGACACCCTGTCATAATGTGTGAAGCTAACACAATTTTTCAAGTCTCTGTTCTTTGTTTCTATTTATTTTATTTCTCTGCGGAACATTATTTTAGATGAAGAGCTAGGAGGTTTACACTTGTTATTTGAAGGGACTCCTGGGCAAGTAGACATATCACACAGACTACAAGCAAATATTCAAGGTGAATTTCAGATTTCAGAGGATGTTCTCAGAGGAAAGAGAGGCTGCAATAAACCTTTGTTTCTAAGTGTGCAGTGCTCAGCATCAACGACTGTATAGCACAACTCTCAGATTCTTTGTATTTAAAAACTCTGGAGCCAGTGGTTCAGGCTTGGAAGCTGAGATCTGAGGATCATGGCTCAAAGTCACTCTGAACAGACAAATCCATGACATTTATCTTCAATTAATTACCAAAATGCCAAAAATGGAGATGTGGCAGAATGCAAACCTTGAGTGAAAACACCAAGCAAAAGCATAAGTCTCTGAGTTCAAGCCCTGGTACCAGCCTTATAAAAATAAAACTGACATCCACTAGGGCTGTTATAGACTCATGAAAAAATGGGACTGAAGTCTGAAACCTGATACTCAGGTTAACTGATCAAAGTCTCCTTTGGCCATGTTTTTCAGACAGCCCAGAACAGCTGGCAGAACTCAGCCTGAATTCTGATTTGCTTGCTGCCTTCAGCCCATAGTCCTGGCTCCTGTCTGTCTCTCTTACTCCTCCAGCCAAACACAACACTGGCATTGAACAGCTTCCTCACTAATGTCCTCCATGCAATATGAACTTCACATGGGTCTGTAAGGATGAGAGTCACTGCAATCAATGATTACAGGGTAAGAAAACAGGTTTCGTTTTTCAGTTTCCATATTCACAAGCATTCTTCGTCCAAAAACTAGCTTAAGGTATTGATAAAGTTACCTTTGAATACTAAATAGTTATAGTTGTGATTAGTGTTTATAAAGTCCAACCTTCACCCTGATTCTAGACTCAAGTGTTTTTCAGTCTGACTTTGGCTGACTTTCTTTCATTCATTCATTCTCTTTTCTCTTTCCCTGTTTCTTTCTTTCCTCTCTCTTCCTTTTCCCTTCTTTTCCTCCCTCCCCCTTCCTCCTTCCTCCCTTCCTTCCTTCCTTCCTTCCTTCCTTCCTTCCTTCCTTCCTTCCTTCCTTCCTTCCTTCCTTCCTTCCTTCCTCTTTCCCTCCTCTCTCTTCCTTTTCCCTCCCCTGTTCTCTTCCCTTCCCACCTCTCTCTGTGTGCCAGCCCTAGGGCTTGAATTCAGTCTGAATGTTGTTTTTTTCACTCAAAGCTGGTGCTTTACCTCTTGAACCACAGTTCCATTTCCAGCCTTCAGCTAGTTAAATGAAGACGAGTCTCATGAACTTTCTTATCCTGGCTAGCTCCATCCTCATGTTTCAGACTCCTGAGTAGCTAGGATTGTAGGTGTGAGCTATCAGCGCCCAGCTAAGTTGTCAATTTCTAATTGTGATCTTGAGGCTGAGAATGCTCCCTCATGCATGGACACATGATTTCATAAATGTAGCATTCAGTGTGGGGAAATATTATCTAGGGCTCTCAGCATTTCCTCTGAACTCTACAATGCAAATGCTTTCCATATTCCTCTTAGCACTCACATAGCTCATTCTCTGCCAACCAATGAGCTTCACAGAGGAACCCAGCTTCAACCAAGGACCTTGTTTAGGAAAATAAGGATTGTTCAATAAGTAACCAGTGCTTATTACACTAAGAACTTGTGTTTATTCCATAAGAACTATTCACTACAAATTTTTAATTGGAAGATAACAGTATAGTTTTGTATGTCCAAAATACCTTCATCAATGGAAACATACTTCTCCCATCCCACAGAAATTGCATTCATTCCACAAACGGCGGGGTAAAGGGCAGGGAACTCCATTCTTCTTTGCACAGAGCCACCGGCCAGAAAGGTGAGCGAGCTCCTTTCACATCGCATGAATTGGCTCAGTTAGATTTCTGCCAGAGCTATCAGAAAGATTTGTTTTGAGGCACTGCCAGCAGAAGGGTTGAGGTGGGTAAGAGGGTGCCAATGATGTCATTCCCAGTCATTTATCTGAAAACTGAGACCCAGTTTGGCTAAGAGGTGGGAAGAGTAAGCATTACTAATTAAACTATCAGATTCAATCAATCTAAGTAATCTCAGATATTATTCAGTCAGATTGTGTTTTAAAGTTTTATCAGTAAGAGCTCTGAGTATACTTTTTGGAGTTTTCCAGTTATATCAAAATAATTTCCTTATTTTGCTTGTTATTTGTTTTGATAAATCACTCTTGTGATTTCTTCTGTTAAAATTATTATAAACGTGATAAACAGATGGGTGACCTTTTCATAGTAAGTCAGATAACAAGTACATCTCTTTTTGGACAATGTCACCCTGCCTTTGCCTCTCCCAGGTTTTCCTTCCCATCCCCTTGCTAGATTTCTTATATTGAAAATGCTGAGTGCCATCTACTAACTGGGTAATCTATAATTTATCATCTCTTAGTCTTGACAGTATAATAGAAGGAATGGTAAAGTATTGGCTATCTGGAAAAAGCTTTGTGTAAGAAAGAAAAACACATAGAAACACTGATTGCTACTTTGGACATTCAACAAACACAGCTGCCCTTCCCTTTTCTTGGTTCTTTTTACAAAACCACCCACAAAGCTGTGGACGCTTGAGTGCTTCTGGTTCTAAGCACTATTTGTGTATTAATGCATTGGATGGATACCACCGTCACATGGTATGTACTCTTGATGGCCTGGCTTTGTAAGAAGGATTTGCAGAGGCAGGTGCTCACCTTGTGCAAGAGCTGGGTTCTGAGGGACACATTATGTACCCTGTGTGTTCTAGATTGTTTACTGTCTGCTCCAAGTCCCACCTCTGGAACCTATCTTGAGAAAAATCTTTCCCAAGTTATTGTCTACTCTGGTGGAAGAGCTCCTCCATCTCATTGTGCATTTAATATTCAATAAAGGGAGGTCAGTGCAGATTGACAAGGATATCATGACATGGATATCATCATTGTTTGGAGAACTTTTCCTGCTTGCATCTTGGGCCGATTATAGTATCAATGCATTGCCTATATACGTACACCTGCTCTATGTTTTCATTTACTCCTCAAAAGGAGACTCATTTTTAACCTTGATAACAGCTAATGCTTACTGAATGCTGATAATGTGCCAGGCATTCCACCAAGCATTAACCTAAGCCTCTCATTTATTTCAAACCACCATAAGCAGTACTACACAAGATCAACACAAGCTGAGGAAACTCATGGACAGCAGGATCTGACCATACCCGCACTGTGAGGTGGAGCCCTGTCCAGCAGCTTCTCCAGTTCCTGCTACTGAGAAAGTGCAGCAGGTATTCGGGAGCACCCAATCTTTAATTTAAAAACACACACACACACACACACACACACATAGAAAAGCTCTACCAGCTGTGTTAGTGGCTCACACCTGTAATCCTAGCTACTCAGGAGGCTGAGATCTGAGGATCAAGGTTTGAAGCCAGCCAGGGCAGAAAAGTCAGAGATTCATCTCCAATTAACTGCCAAGGCGGCCAGAAGTGGAGCTATGGCTCAATGGCAGAGCATTAGCTTTAAGTAACAAAGCTTGGAGACAGTGCCCTGAGTTCAAGACCTATGACTAACGTATGCACACGTACATACATGCACACACACATACACACACAACCATGTTCTTTAATGAGAGCATTTTTTTCTTTTTTCCCCCAAATACTTATTGAAATTCACTACATATGTTTCACAATACTGTGGCATAGATATACTTAGCTAAGGTCACAAAGGCATTTTAACCTCCACAATGATAACCATCATCATTCTAATCTACAAAGCTTATGAACTCTATGAACTTTAACAATAAGATTATTTCTTCCAAATCGGGTGATATGTACTTTTCTTTCCTTTTGCTTAGTATCAGCTGTTTCCTCCTTCTCATTCTCTCCTTCCCATCACCACACTGGAGTTGCTTAGTTCACTTTCATCCATGTCCAGTGCAGCTGATGGGCCCCTCTGCTGTATTTTTTCACCACTTTCCACTGATTGTGTTCTGCTCCCACCTTCCCTCAAATGTACATGTGTTACACCAGATATGAGGTAGAGAATACAGAGCCATCTAAAAAAAAAGATAGGACAAATTAAGAAGTCCTTTGTTTCCTTGTCTTTAGGGTTCTTTTAGTCTCTGTATTACTTTACACACATATGAAGAGGTGCTTCGGTATTACAATTTGGCATTATTCAACCAAGACTGTCCTCTTTTGGCTTCACTGTGTATGAGTGTCTTGAGTCCTGTTCTTTAATAAAGAACAATTTCAAACTACATAAAAGGATACTTTAATGATGGACATATATTGTGTAGTAGAGAAGTGAAAATGTATTAAGAGTATTCTTTGTTGATAGTTATAGTATGTTCTTTAATTCTAAGAAATTCCTATGGTCAACAGGACACAAATTTCCATTTCCCTTTTCATTAAGCAGACTTGCAGGTCCTATTTTCCAGCAGGAGCACCAGCAGCTGAGGGCTGTATGGCTGAATATAAAACGAAGGAAGGATCCAAAAAAGTGGATCAGCCACGAAATAAATTTGTGTTTATTTTATGATTAAATTTAATCCCCTTCACCTTTCTTTTTAATTCAATGCAATATGTACCACGATGATAGCTATTAAAGGTGAAAGGATTAATTAAACTATAATTATCTGATAAGACTAGCATACTAACCTGATTTAGGGCAGATTCACCTACTTCAACTAAAAATACTGGACAGCAAAAACTCAATGGGAATAACGAAATAAAATTAACTCTGCTGTTCCTGTTCCTAATATATAAGCTAAGTAATCTCTGTATTATTTAAATGAAGAGTCAGATTGTGTTTTAAAGATTTATTAATAAGAGCTCTGAGTACAAATAAATTTAATTTGCCATTTAGAAAAAAATGGTTCACTTTTTAAGGTTCATCTGTAAGCATTGTTCATTAAAAAACCCATTCTCTACATTATAAACTCAAATTTTCAAACTTAACAAAATAATGCTTTTCAGCTTGTGAATTAATTTTAGGTTTAATTTTAATAATTCTGTCTTGTTACATCAGTTAAGGAGACCATAGGTAGACAAAAGCATGAGAATAATTGATCTGGATATTTTTTTCCTAAAAAGCTTTTAATTAAAAAATACCTAAAATTAGAACACTTGCAGCAAAAAAAGCATCTATGAACAAATTAACAATACATAATTATTTTAGTACATACTGCATTACAAATAATATGTTTACATATATTCAAATGATTTGCTATAGCAAATATTTATATAGCTGTCAAAACTTCTCAGTAACACTTTAACACTCTGGGGAGATTCTATTCCTAATAAATGACAAGAACACCATTTAATAGATGACAAGTGATATATATGTTAATCAGAGGTCTGACCAGGTAAGTCTTATCAACTGGCCATGAAATGAGATTCATTAATAAGCATTTAAAGGAATGCAGATAAAATACCAACTCTTGCCCCTCATCAGGATATATGATTAGCATCAGAAATCCAACCATGAGCAAAAACAGCCAGTTCAAACAACTCCTCTTAGTATTCTAAAGTGCCAACTCTAGGCTTTCCTTCTTCTGGACAAGTGCTGTCACTCTTGATTCAACAGTGCTTACTCGTTGGCTGGTGGCACATTATTGCTTCTTCAAGACCAGCCATATCCCACACATTCCTTTGCAGCTGAAGTGAACTACAAATAGCTGAAAGGAAACCAGTGCATTTCAAGAGAAAATTATCTGCCTTACCCAGTAGGGCAGAACCCCCAACTCTTAAACACTTTGATCAAAGTATGCTGCTACCTTGGAAACATAATAGGGTTGAAAATCTTTCTCTACTGAGATGCAATTTCTTCAATGGCTTGTCATTTGGTATGAAGTCTTACATTCAGCCATTGAGATACTAAGAATGTTTTAGAGTAAGGACAGGAATCACACCAGGAGTCGCAGCAAGGAGACAATCCACACAAACAAAAAGGCATCTGAGACCAGCCTGAGGTGCTCACAGTGCTGCAGGCGAGCAGCTTCAGAGATGAGATTGAGAGTGAGTGGTGTGAACTGTGGGTACTCGCAGAGGAATGAGTCACCGCTGTCATTCCTGAGCAGCTCAGCCTTGCCTCCCAGGACAGGGACTTCGTCCCAGTCCATAAAGTAAGGGTCCAGACTCCCCACCACAGATTTGCTCCGTTCAATTCCACTCGACAGTCAATGAGAAAAGAACAGTTAGCTCAGTGAAAATCTGAACAATAATAAATAGTGACTTTCAGGGAAGTCAAACTTCCTACAGAGCTGGTGTAAGAGGTAAAACCATAAAGTCAAAACCATGTTAGAGACATCTCTATTTTTGGTTTCATTCAAAAGAGCCCCTGGTATTCTCTCAAACTAGCGATGTGGGTCAATATGATCTACTTTTTAATTGCACTGTAACTTAGCTACAAAAATCATTCCTCAATAAGAAATGTGTAATATTCAAAGTCTAGAGGTTTATAATAAATACTGTATTAAAATATTTTAATATTTACAACTGAAAACCATATAGTCAGTCATTTTCAATTTCATCTTCTACATAATCAAATGCTTTCAGCGTTGGCTTATTATTTGCATGTTTCAATCGGTGTCTATTTGGATTAAAATTTCTTCCTTCACCAAGGAGGAAGTCTTCATTTTCATCCTGTTCTCTAACCCTGCTGTGTTTCTCACCTGTGCAAAAATTCAGAGGGTCACAGTCCCCTCTGCTGGTAGGCAGAGAGCCTGGGTCGCTGCCCCTTGCGGAAATGGCACTGCTGGCACTAGTGCCAAATAGTTGCTCCATCAGGTTAGCTTTTCTCCCCCTTCTTGCGATTAAGTCCACACCATCTTTATTGAAGTTATCCATGTTGTCTTTTGGCAAACCTACAAGGCTACTTTTTTGGTTACACGGGGCGCCAAATAGTTGCTCTATCAAGTGAGCTTTTCTCTCCTTTCTTGCCATTAAGTCTACACCACCTTTACTGGAGTTATCCATACTGTCTTTTGGCAAATCTACAAGGCTACTTTTTTGGCTACACGGATTGGACTTCCCTGACATTTTTACAAATGAAGGCACGTAACTCCCAAATGAAAAGTCATTTGGAGATGCTGGACTTCTAATGTTTCCTGGATTCAGAGCATCTCCTTTAGGTGTTGCAAAACCGATGTCCTGCAAATGATGTCCATTGAACGATCTCTCAGAGGGTTCAGGGGACATGTTTGCTTTAGTGCTTCTCACCAGGGCGCGCAGTTTTGTTTCCAACTCAGGGAACAAGGGTGCAGAATGATATTTCCGGGTCTGAAAATCTTGGAGTTCTTTGTTGATTTCATTCGGTTTAGCAAGGAACATTTCCCTCTTGACTTCTTCTTCCTCTTCTTCTAATTTGTCAACCTGTTGAAGCTGATATATTTCCATTTGGCACTGCCCAGTTTCCAACTCTGGCTTTTCTTCTGTTTCTAGTAAAGGTATCTTTTCATCTTGTTTTTTGTCAATCTCTTCTCTCTCCCATTCTATATGAAATAAAATTGCATAGATTTTTATGGAACTATTGCTAAAAAGGAAAAGTCAATTCCTATCTTTCACAAATTAACATTTTGAAATGTAACTTGGGTATTATAAGTACAGTGAGGATGTACTTAATATTTCATTTCTGTACTTCATACTCTAGGATTAAGGAATAATATTTAATACATCTTGCATTTAAGATCCACTTTTACAGGGAAAAACTCTTCAATACTAAATAGGGTCACTATTTTTTTAACAACAAATATAATGCTGTACATATTCTGATGGGTTGTGGGAAGGATGGATGGATGCATGAATGGATGGATGGATGGATGGCTAAAGACTATTATACTTAACCTCTAGATGCCATGTCCTGAGAAAGATATGACAGTCTTCATGCAATATTCTGACAGCAGATACAGTAACTAAAATCTAACAGAAAACTTCAAACTCTAAATGCAGAACATTCTATTTTTAAACATGCATCTGAAATAATCAAAAATTTTAATCTCACAAAATAAAAATAAAAACCAAGAAACTGCTCTTAGACTACAGACTGGAAAGAAATGAAAAATGAAACATGATTTATAATGTTTTCTAGAAGGGAGAAAACACTACAAGTAGCAGTATTGTGTCTACAATATGGATATAGCTAAATGCAGTGTATCAAAGTTAAACTTCCTGAATTTGAAAATTATACTGGAAAAAAAAAAAGAACCTCGGGGAAGGTAGGGAGGAAAGGGATGGTAGGGGGAAAACAATGGAGGGGGTAACAATGCTCAATAGGAAGTGTACTCATTACCTTACTCATGTAACTGTAACCCTCTGTATAGTATCTTTACAATAAAAAATAAAAAATATTTTTAAAAAAGAAAATTATACTGGAATGATGGTAAGAGAATGACTATGTTTGGGAGAAAAATACATGGAAGTATTTAAGGACTTGGGCACAAGTATAATTCATTCTTAAATAGTTGTGTACTATTCTTGCCACTTTTCTATAATTTTGAAGTTATTTTCAAACAAATTAAAACTATCAAATATGTCAGAACACTACTAATCTCCTAACTTCAATAACACGAAAACATTCCCACTAATATAAGATCTAGACAGTCTCCGAAAACAAAAACAAAAACAAAGAGGTCGGGCCAGGCATTGGTGGCTCATGCCTATGATACTAGCTACTCAGGAGCTCTGTGGATCACGTTAGAGCACTAGCATTCAGTAAAGAAGCCCTGAGGTTAAGCACCAGGACTGGTGTGCATGAGCACACACACATGAACATGCACATGCAAACAAACACACAGACACACAGACACACAGACACACACACACACACACACACACACAAAGTCACTTAAAAGCACAAAGATAAGTGATGGTAGTCTGCTATTTTATTTTTTTTCCTGTTGTCTAGAAAAAATTGAGCATTAATCCCTAATTTTCTTTTCTGTAGTAGTGTAACACATGAAACCATCCTGTTTCACACATTAGCCAAGGGTGATAATGTAAATACCTAGCTTCTATTTCAAGGTTATACTGTGTTTAAACATACATGATCATACACACATACACATACATATATCTATGCAACAATGGTTATAATTTTATGGTCCATGAACTTCAGCTCAAAACAACAACAAAATTTTTCTTTAAGCAGGATGTAGTATAGTTCTATACTGCGTGATTATACATCCACACTATATACATTAATTATATACATAATAACTGATATAATGTATATAATTAATGTATATAGTGTGTAACTAATACATTCCCCTGTGCAACTAATACATTCAACAGGGTAGAGTCTGGGATCCCTTGCTCATGCTTGTAAGATATTCTGTCCAGACAGAAATAAACTTAGTCCTAAAGTTCGTTTCCATTATCTACAAACTCTGTGAATTGGCTCACTGAATTTACATTAACTCTGAGCATATTAAAGACTTAGTTTATAAGGTAAAATCAAAGAACAATGATAGGAATGTATACAGGACAACATAACTCTCTGATGTTTCAGCTTAAGCTAGTCTGTGGACTACAGCTTCAAGGCCAAGCTCCAAATGGCAGCCGTCCTCCAATTATTTCTTCAAGTTTTACTTAAAACCAAAGCATGTTTTTCCTTTTTATCTAAGTTGTGTCTTTGTGGAACTTATCTACCTGAACTTGTAATTTGTTCAAATGTTCGTGACTCTTTTTTTTTTTTTTTTTGGGTCTGGTCGTGGGGCCTGAACTCTGGTTTTGGGCGCTGTCCCTCAGCTCTTCAGCTCAAGGCTAGCGCTCTACCACTTTAGCCACAGCGCCACTTCCAGCTTTTTCTTTTTTGCTTACGTGGTGCTGAGGAATCGAACCCAGAGCCTCATGCATGCAAGGCAAGCGCTCTACCACTGAGCCACCTTCCCAGCCCTGTTCGTGACTCTTGATACACTGCTTCCTACAACTGCACTTGCCTTTTTTTGTTCTGCACAAACAATTTACAGTTTAGTGGGAAGACATCAAGGGGCCCTGACCCTTCCTTTATCCAGGGACTCACACCCCGTGTAAACCAACTCTATTACGTACCACTCTCCAGCTTCTCCTCCTCCTGCTCTACGATGGGCTCTCCTTGATCTTCACCGGACTCTTCTTCCTCTACCGGTAAAGGCAGAACAGTGTGTTCCTTGTGTTCCTCTTGCTCTGGGGACTCCAGATTCTATGGTGAATTTTTAAATGCAAATCCACACATAGGGGAAGAGGAAATATCAAATTAGAAATTAAAGCCAATTTTCAGTGAATAAAGCAACAAATCAAATCACATGTTCTTCTGCCGCGAATGGTGCTTCTAGTTAAAAATTTAAACAAGAATTTATGAACTACATCAGAGCCACTATAGTGGAAATAAAACCAACAACCTACACAAATTTCTGAAGATAAGTTGCAGAAGAGCTGTTTCTTTAGGCAAAATAACTCAAATCTGGTTATTAATCAAGTTAACTAGAAATGGCTGAAGAGAAGCTGAAGAAACATGTAACACAGCTGGTGACAGCTGAACTGAGCTGTTCAAGTCTACATTATGTCCAAAGTCTCCAAGTAATGAAGTTCTATACTATTTAAATCAAATAAGGATGCTACATACTTAAAATTCCATAAATAATAAGGAATTTTAAGTTTATTATGGTTCCTTGCAAATATCTCTGGTGTGATTTTCCTTAATAAAAATAAAGCATGGATTGTTGTAAAGATTCCATAGTATTGTCCCCTGGTATCCGTTTTCATTTTCTTCCTTTTAGAAACAATCCCCTGTGTGTTAAGCAGGGCACAGAGCTTCTCAGATGGAGACACTGTCGGCCACCCCTGCAGCTAGACAGGACCAGGGTGAGGCGGGTGGAAGTGCAGGTGCAACTCCAGATCACATTTGTAAGCACAGCTTGCCCGCTGCTTCCTCATTCCCTTTGTTCACTGGGAGATGAGGCCACTCCAACCACAAACATGAGGGCTACAGTCCCAAATGGAAGATCAGCACAGCAGCTCGCCAGCCCTGGACTGCACACTGATTTTATCCACTACAAGAAGAAGCGCCTTCTCTTATCTCAGCCCCCATACTGGTGTCTTTCTAATTGCAGCATGAACTGGACTCTGGGCTGCCACTGGCTGAGGACTTATTCATGCAGGTTTCGGAGGAGCTTTAGAAACATCATGGTTAATTACCACCCTTTACACATGAGGAAACTGAGGCCCTAAAAATTCACACCACTGAAATGTTGGCACCTGGATTCAATGAAAAAGCAGAGCCAAGTCTAAGACCACACTCTTTCCAGCAGGGTGCTGGCTCTGAATCTTCTAGTACAAAAAAACCAATTATATATATATATATTAGACCACTTTTGGGGCTGGGAAGGTGGCTCAGTGTAGAGTGCTTGCCTCACTGGCAAGCCCTGGGTTCAATTCCTCAGTACCACATAAGCAGAAAAAGCCGGAAGTGGCACTGTGGCTCAAGTGGGAGAGTGTTAGCCTTGAGCTGAAGAGCTGAGGGACAGCACCCAGGCCCAGAGTTCAGCCCCCACAACTGACCAAAAAAAAAAAAAAGAAAGAAAAGTTTTCTTTGAAATTTAAATTGCATCTATTAATTAACATGAATTTACAGAGACATGGTATTAAAACTCCTTTTCAATAAAGGTACAATATATACCCCTCTTGAAATGGTACAATACACTCCACTTGAAATGGTACAAATTCAGATTAGCATTCATTTAATCTATAAAATTTATTTATTCAATCTATAAGATTTTTCCCATGTAGAATGCCAAAAATTTAAATCTGGGTAAATTCCTTACGAATGATTTGAAAATGATCAGCGTTTCCTATTAAACACAGAACTTTGAAAATTAAGACTGTCTAGCTGAATAAAAGGTAACCTCTTTAAGCAAATTCTTGTCTTTTACCTCCAACCTAGTAGAAAGCATAACCAGTCTCTGAAGCAGCTGAAAAATGCAACATGAACCAAAAGAGTAAATCCTGAAAAATTTAACAAATTATACAGATGAGTTTCTTTTTAAAAGGATATCTGAATATTTACAAAGAGACAGCACTACTTCCACTACTAAAACTGTACCAAGTCTGAAAGACCATTTTTAGGAATAACTTTAAACCTAAACCTAAAGTTGGGCAGAAAATCATACTGCTGCACTCACCAAAGAATGATGTTCTGATTCCTCCTGTTTGTTTTTGAAATCCATAATTGTCTGTGGTATTATAGAAAATTCTTCCTGTCCATCTTCAGTGGTTTGTACTCCCTTTGTACACAGGTCTGTAAAATCACTCTGGCATGAAACTACCATGAAAATTGGAAAAGAAGTTTTTTGATCTCATTCAACACTGCTAACATTTATTCAACTGGCATAAGCTCATCATCTAAATAAACTGATGTACTTTTGACTCAGCTCAGTAAACACTCATTTTTGTGTCTGGGATTTACTAGCAGGTATGTATGATTTGGGAGCAATTCTTCCTTTAAATGGCCCTACACTTCTACGAAGTTTATATTTAAAAATTGTGCAATTCCTAGAATGATTGTACTTTGCTAAAAATAGAGCAAAGCTATTTGCATAATATAAAATATTTATGAGTGAAATAATACCTGTGATTTCCTGAGAAACACAATATCAAAACTAAGAAAAATAAATGAAATTACCAAAAAGAGTAATCTAGGCAATGTTTAAGTGGAAGTTCATTGAATCTTTAACTCTATTGTGTATGTTTATATATTTTCATAAGGGTTTTCAAAATCACAGTAGGAATTTTTTTAAGTTATTCAAAACATGATTCCAACAACCTTTCTTCATGTGTTAAAACTTACAAAAATTGAAAGACTTCTAAAGATTATGAAAACTAAAATTGTAAAAAAAAAGTAATTTATATATTTGTATGAGATTCTGCATTCTACTTTACAATATTAATAAATAATAGCTATAATAGTTATAACCCATACTATACTATAGTATAATACTGTTGTCTTAATATAGTAGCTACCATACCATTCTTTCTTGGAGCAGGTTCTTTTTCTTTCTTTGGAGATGACTTGGGCAGACGGTTAGAATATATGTTTTTATTCTCCAGTTCTCTCTCCTTTTCCTAAACATAAACCCAATACAATGTAAGCAAGTAGAATCTCAGCTTAAATAGCCTTCACTTAGGCAACTGGCTGACAACTTTCTTGCCAAATGGAAATATACTGAGTTCAACTTCCCTGTGTAATTACCAAACCACAGAAAGAAATGTCTCCAGTACCCTTGGGTTAAGAGAGACAATGACTTCCCAGTAAAGAAAGGCTACAGGTCCTACGGCTTCCGGGGAGGGGGAAGAAGGGGAGGGAAAAACAGGGTATATGGAAGAGAGAACAAATAAGAATAAAATAGATTTTAGTTTCCACACTCCTACCTGATAAAGCTAGTAATTCTGTCACTATCACCCAGGCTTAGTCAGAGACAAAGAATGAGTTAGCATCTCTTAATGAGAGTTCTCAGTGATGGAGGATTTTAAAATGAGAGGTTGGGTGCATTGATTCACTTCTGATTCCAGCCAGCTACACAAGAAGGCCTAGCGAGAAGGCATAGCTGGGACCTTAATCTAAGGCTGGCTTCAGGCAGAAACCTGAGACCCTACTGGAAAAATACCTCAAGCAAAAAGTGATAGAGCACTTGCCTAACAAGTATGCCTAACAAGTCTCAAGCCAAACCATACACACCCCTCACCTCCAAGGAAATTGGCCATGGCGTTAAACATTGGTGTGCTTTAGCATTTGGGAGCTATGACTTTTTCTAAGAATTGGATTAACAGAAAAAAAAATCTATGGAAGACATTGGCCAGGTATAGTGGCATATATCTGTAATCCCATCTACTGAGAAGGTAGAGGATTATAGTTTGTCGGGCAAAATAGTTGGCAAGACCCTATCACATGTCTATAATCGCAACTAGATGAGAGGCTGAAGAAAATGGTTAAAAGTTGGTCCCAGCAAAAGTGTGAGACTCTGTCTAAAAGTTTACAAGAGAACTGAGGTGTGATTCAAGTATTAAAGTGTTTGCCTAGCCGGGTACCAGTGGCTCAGGCCTGTAATCCTAGCTACTCAGGAGGCTGAAAAATCTGAGGATCACAGTTTGAAGCCAGCCCAGGCAGAAAAGTCCCCATGAGACTTTTATCTCCAATAAACTACTCAGAAAAAGCAGAGGCCTAGCCTTGAGCACAAAGTGGCTCAGGGACAGCCCCAAGACCCGCAAAAAAAGAGAAAAATGTGCTTGTCTAGAAAGCACATGACCCTGAAAAGAAAAAAGCTATATAAAGTAGTGCATACTTTTGTGTAATTCTATATAAAATTTCACCCATCAATGACCTCTAGATAAAATTAAGAATACTTGCCTTAACATAATTAACTGATATGAATACTTTTTTTTTAGCAACAATGAAAATGAAGGACATGCTTAAAACAACTTTAAATATAATCACATCTGAGGAAGAACATCAGATTATCCATTCATCCAACACAAACTCCAGTTCCTTTGAGGTATTTTTCTGTTTATTTGTTTGCTAGTGCTTGGGCCTGAGTGTGTCTCTGAACTCTTTTGCTCAACCCTAGTGCGCTATTATTTCAAAAACACTTCCACTTCTAGCTATTTGCTAGAAATAAGACTAAGTTAGATATAAGAATAAGATAAAAATCTCATGGACTTTCCCACCCAAGTTGGCTTTGAACCATGGTCCTCAGATCTCAGCCTCCTCAGCAGCTAGGATTATAGATGTGAGCCACTGCCCCCAGATAGTTCCTATAATTTCCTCCAGAATTTCCCCTTACATTTGTCTTGTTGCTACATGATACTTTGCTTTGTAATAGTGATTATACTAACAAATCATTTCTTCTAAGTACCAAAGATAACATTAGAATTCTATAAATTGTATTATATAAACTTTCAAATGTGAATAGTGTTTTAGAATACCAGGTTTCTATGTAACTTACATGGTGGGAAAGCTATGCCATTTGACATAAAAATTTTACCTTCAGTTTGTGGTATAGCCTTTGCAGCTCCTTTTGTAGAACTTTGTTTTCATCCTGAGCCGCATATGCCCTTTTCCTCTCAGCAAGCAGCTGACGTTGAAAACTGTTCGTACTCAGCTCAAGGCTTTTTGAAAGTTCCTATGTGTACAAAAAATAGAACAAAGTTAAGCCAATAGTAAAACATATTAAACAGTGCCAGAAAGATGTTTTGGATGATGGTGCACAAGAATTACAATACAGGCTGGGCTTTGTGGTCATGAACGTAAAGCCAGCCAGTAAATATTTTTACCAACCATCTAATAAGACACCAGTTTTTCATAATGGAAATAAATTCTCAGGCATTTGTCTGAGGCACATCTGTAGCCGTTTAAATTGGATATCAAAGACAGCAAAAAGAAGAGAAGCACAGGCTTTTGGAAATCATGATATGGGTATAATTTAACATGACAGTTAAAACTATGTAAGTATTCAAGGTACAGAATACATTGAAAAGAATTGCATGAAAACAGCAGAAATTTCCATGGACCAAGGGGTTTTAAATACTTTAAAATATGAAGAATTTTAAGTACTTTCTTCTAAAATCAGTTGTCAAAGTGCTGTTCTTAACTTGTGAACTTACTTGCCTCTTACTTATGAAATATTATCAAATCACAAAGAAAAAATAAAAATAAAAGACAGTTGCAATTTCAGTACTATATGCTCATGACTGCCAACAAGGCTGTGGGTAATTGAGACTTTCCCATATTTTCTTCAGTCAGCATCATAAATGCCTAAGAAGGTCCAGAGAGAAACGTCACCCAGAACCGGCCTTGTTCTCACACTTGCTTCTCTCAACGGCCTCCCTCCTCCAGCCCAATGATGTCCGAGCACATGCTGCTGAGAAGACGAGGAGGGAGCACTACACTGCGGGCGCTGATTCCTACCCTACTCCTGCTGGGCAGCACCTGGCCCACGCCACCGTCTGCTCACAGGACAAGTGCCCAGGCCTCTCCTGACCTCTCCTGCGGTAGCCAGTGAGGGAACCATGACTGGTGAAAGGCTGGTCTCAACAGTGCTGGAAGAAGTCCTCATGACCCCGCAGAAGCCACCACTCCCACTGTATGTGTAGTAGTTACTCAAGGTGTACTCCACATGCTCTGCAGTCTACCTCACACCACTGTGAAACACCGTGTCCACAACAACACTGGGTCACTTCAACAACAGCACAGTATGCTGTGTCCAGATCTCATTTATCACAGGCAAAGAACCCACAAGGGGATTATACAGTGAAATATACTCAACATGGAAAACAAACCAATATTCCAAGACACATCTTCAGGAGAAACCCACTTACTAAACAGGCCATCACATAAGAAATATAGATTCCAGATGATCAAATCTCGACATAGGAGCACAAGAAATATGAGGAAACCATTACTATAGTGCTTCCTAAAGATCAGGTTCCAAAGACAATGAAGTGCCTGATAAAGAATTCAAGTAAGTTAATTTTATGTTTGTGCTGGTCTTGGGGCTTCAAGTCAGGGCCTAAGCACTGTCCCTGAGCTGTTTTTCTCAAGGCTAGCGCTCTACCAATCGAACCACAGCTCCACTTCTAGCTTTTTGGTGGTTAATTGGAGATAAGAGTCTCCTGCCTGAGCTGGCTTAAAACTGTGATCCTCAGATCTCAGCCTCCTGAATAGGTGGTGTGTGCTACCGCCACCCAATTCAAATAAATTATTTTTAAAATAAGATAAATAGTTGAATTCAGAAGGTAATGCTGGATATGATTGAGAAAGTTATCAGAGATTGACATATTTACAAAAAGAAATAATCAGATCTCAGAAACTCAGTTGAAAGCCTCAACAATAAACTAGATTATATAGAGGAATGTCTAATAGAGCTTGAGACATATCACACTTTTGAAATGAATGAAGAGATTACTTATGATCTTTGAGACACTATTAAATGATCCAGTATCTATATATCTAAAGAGGTGAACCATGAAGTTCGAATATTACCAATACAATAAACCATCTGGATATTAATGATTAAATAAACAGACTAAATAAATGATATAAATATAAACAGACTGGTTCAATAAATTAAAAAAACAGTGCTCAAAAATATGCTGCCTTCAAGAATACATTATCTAACCAGTGAGGTCACATAGTGAAAGACTGGAAAACAATACTTGAAACAATGGAATACTAAGGCAAAAAGGACTAGTTGCGTTAATTATCTAACAAAGACAAAGTATAAGAACAAAAATGGTTACTACATAATGAGTATCAATTCATCAAAAATACATGACTATAAATGTATATAAATCTGTCAGATTACCCACTTAAAAAAAAGCTATTAGAAATAAAGGAAGAGGTAGGCTTTAGTACAATGAAATTTGGGATTCCAATACTGCATACTCATTATGAAAAGACAACCCAGACCTTCAAAAAATAAGAATTAAGCTATCCTATAGAGTAAGTGCACTTATTCATCTATCCAAATGCTGAAGAACACAGCACTATTTACATCAGTGCATGCAATTTTCTCTAGAATGCAACATAAATTAGGCCACAAAATAAGTCAACAAATTCAAAATACTGGAATCATACCATGCATCTTTTCTGATCACAACAGAATGGAAATATAAACAACAAAAGAAATTATGGGTCAATACTCCTGATGAACATGAGTGTCAGCATTTAACACATTACTAGTAAATAGAACTGACCAGCATAAAAATAATGGGAATATGGTGGAGGGGGTTAATTTGTTCAGTTTTGTTCCATGCACAGTGTGCATGTGTGGAAAGATCACAAAATTCCCTCATACTACAAATGCATGCAAATTCAAAAACTTTTTTAAAAGATAATTGAAGTGGCCTCATTAAAGGATATAATATAGTTCAACAAATCCAGATTAAAAAAACACAATATGCAAATTAATACAATGTTAGGCAAAAATGATGTGATCATCTCAACAGATGCCAAAACATGTATAAGTCTCTCAATTCAATCTTCAGCACCACAAAAAAATTAAAAGGTGCACAAAAAGTATTTGCTAAAAATTAACATTGTTTCAGGATCAAATTCTTAAATAATTAGGTATAAAAGAATTGCACCTCACCAGGCACCAAGAGCTTGTGCCTGTAATTCTAGCTACTCAAGAGGCTGAGATTTGAGGATGGAAGTTCAAGCCAGCCCAAGCAGGAAAATTTGTGAGATTCTTATTTCCAATAAACCACCAGAAAACTGGAAGTGGTGCTGTGGCTCAAGAGAAGAGTGTTCGCCTTGAGTTGAAGAGCTGAGGTACAGCACCCAGAGATCAAGCTCCATGACCGACCAAAAAAAAAAAAAGAATTGTATCTCAATATAAAACAGGATATGGGCTGGAAAGGTGGCTCAGTGGTAGAGTGCTTTCCTTGGCTGAGCCCTGGGTTCGATTCCCCAGCACTACATAAGCAAAAAAAAAAAAAAAAAAAGAAAAAAAAGCCAGAAGTGGCGCTGTGGCTCAAGTGGTAGAGCGCTAGCCTTGAGCTGAAGAGCTGAGAGACAGCGCCCAGGCCCAGAGTTCAGGCCCCATGACCAGACCCCCCACCAAAAAAAAAAAAAAAAGCAGGATATATAGTAAACCAACAGCCAAGAGCAAATTGGATGTGGAAAAAAATGAAAGTACTTCCTCTAAGATAAGGAATAAGGCAAGTGTGTCCACCCTCAGTGATCTTATTAAATAGAATTCTAGATATGTTAGCAATAAGCAGTTTAGCACACTGAGGCAAGAAAAGGAAATACAAGGAACAGCAAAGGAGGACATCAGATTATCCATTTACAGCTGACATGAGTCTATAGCCACAAATCATGATGACTCCAAAAGAACCATCATAACTGAAAGCAATCAGAACAGAAGCAGCTCCAGCACACTCCTGGTTCTGGGTCAATCCAGTGACTAAATAATAAAAAAAAACAAATATGGAAAGTTGTTTCTAATCCACAGCAACATCAGTGAGATTATAAGGAACAATAGGGAAAAAAACAGAAGAAAACAAACAACATACAAAACTCATGTATAGTTTTCTATAAACACTAATGAATTTGCCAAGAAAGAAATCATAAAAACACTCACAAGAAACACAGATGGACACACTACCAAGGAACACACTTAACTAGGGAAGTGAAAGGCTTATATAATAAAAATTGTAAAACTTTGATGAAAGAAACTGAAGACACTAAAGGTACGTCTCCTATTCATGTGGACTAGAAAGACTGGTTTACTGTTCTATGCCCATAATGCTCAAAGTGATCTAAAGGGTAAATGTAATGTCCATAGAAATTTCAATGACATTTTATACAGAAGCAGAAAGCAACATTAAATTCATATGAAAGCATAAAGGAGTCCAAATAGCCAAAATAACTATACCAAAAAGAGCAAAACCAGAGCGATCACTAGTTGATTTCAAACCATATTAGAATCATAGTAACAAAAACATAATAGGCATGAATACAAACCCATAAACCAGTGAGACAGAAAAAAGAATGTAGAAAAGCCCAGGCATCTACATCTACAGCCAGCTGATTTGTCTCAAAGGTGCTAAAATGTACATGAGGAAAAAGGCAGCCTCATCTACATATGGTGCCAGGAACACTGGATATGCAAATGTGGAAGACTGAAACTTGACCTGTATCTTTCATTCTGTCCAAAAGAAATTAACTCAAAATGACCCAAAACCTTATTATAAGAGATGAAAGTCAAAAATTTCAGAAAATTAGTAGGGAAACACTTCCAGATAGGGGAAAGGAATGATTTTCTTGGTTGGAGGCCAAAGCATAGGAAACAAAAATAAATACTGACAAATGGAGTGTAAGCATTCTCTTTTAGATTGCTGGCCGTCACAATGAGCTGCCGTGCTTGCTCTGTTCTGCCCTTCCTACCATGATGGATGAAACTGTGGCCCAAATAAATCCTTCCTCCTTTTAAGGTGTTTCACTTGGTTATTTTGACACAGGGACAAAAAGCTGACATAGAATATTGGGATTAAAAGAAGTGGGCAATTGTTTTGAGTAAACCTTGTTGTCTTTAAACCTCTGGAAACTGATGTTGAGAAAAGTTTGGAGAATCATGCTGAAAAAGAAAGCCTACCTGTCCATGGAGCTAGCTAGGTG